AATTTATATTTAAAACTAAAGCTTTCTTAGCGCTCTATGAACTGTCTTTTACAGAAATAAAATATTTCTATTACTTACCAAAATATTCCGCCTGGGAGTTTTTATTGGTACTTCCTGTATACTACCTAGCAAACCATTCTATTACGTTTGAACCTTAAAGTATAATTGTGTGATCAACACAGTAAGTTAACCAACTGGCAAATTGACGCTGTTCATTCACTTCATTGGTCATCACCTCTATACTCATCAAAATAAATACCTAAAATACACTCCAGTATATCTATGATAGAATCAAAGTAAATAAAATATATATTGATAGCAAATGGACGCTCCGCGTTTGAGCAGAAATCAAGCGGTAAAAAGTACCTTGTAATTTACTTTGCCAATTATTACGTTACATTTTTAAGTATAAAAAAAGGGTTTAAATATAAGTTTTGTATTGTTTTATATACAAATTGGCACCAAACTTTGCATACTAGCGCTAGCTGCTGATAATTTTCGTGCATTTTAGGGCGATATTTTGTAATTTTGGCATATCAAATACACGTACCTACACATTTTACTTATTTTTTTCTTCAAAAAAGTAGGTAAACACAATACAGTAAGCAATCGAAGTTGCTGTATTGAAAATTGTAAAAATGGATAGGTGTACAATAAGAAGAAAAATTACCTTTATTTTTGTAATAACAGTAATACTGGAAATAGTAGACTTTAGAAACTTGAAAGGTTTTAAATAAACAATAAATTATCATTTTACAATGTTCTCCAACATCCCTTTAATCTTAAATGTTCAGCAAGAACTAGATTTCTGCCTTTGCTTATTGTATGTGGCTGGAATGCATTTTGTGACTTACTGATAGGAAACCAGTTTTAATCATTCATTCTATGTTTTCTTTCGATCAAAAATGAAAATATAAATAACAATCCTTCTGTTTATACATTTTAACTTCACATTTAATGGTATTTTTTATTTTGGCAGAATAGGTTAACACGTTGACTGCCAACTACGAGATAACTCGTAGATTGCATTCTTCTCTAGGACGCCAACTACGAGTTATCTCGTCCGGTGTTTTGTGCAGCTACGAATAAACTCGAAATATATCAGTGCTAATATCAATAGATGTCTTCTGGGAAAAGAACAAAAAGTCAATTCTGGTTTGCATGAACAGAAAATTTATTAAAAAACGAACAAAAAATATAATTATATAAATTAGTTCAAATTCAAGAAATAAATAATATAATGAGATTAAATCAAATTGTCATTTTAGGCCAGATGTCTCAAAATTGCCGTGGCAGTCAACGTGTTAACGGTTAATTCTTTAAGGACAACTTATTAGACTTAGGCAACTTCTCATACATTTTTCCGTAAATACTGTTGCCTGTCTATATTTTATTATTGATTTTTATTAATTACTTACTTTTTTTAGTTTAAGAGATAAAAATATATAATAATAATAAATTAATGTTTTACTTGTTTTACAAATCCATATACTTTTATTAAAACTAACATATATACTTTTTAATTATGAATTCTTTTAAAAATTGTATTGTCAGTAATATGCAAAAATAGTCCATTAGTACATAAATGAATTCGCTCTGCTGTCACGCACGGAACGAATATAAATTATCAATTAATTAACTAGACGATCACTACTACTAGAGGAAAAAGGCAAAATACAGTAAGTAGGTATAGAATTTAAAGTAAAACAAAATAAAGAGTTAAGATTTCAGATTTAAACAAAAATCAAAAGGGTATGGGGGTGGGTGGTGTGGTTACAGTACTTGATTTCAAGAACATTTTAATAATAAATGTATAAAACTTTTTTTGTTTTATTTAAAATGTCCATGATTCATTGAGGTTTTACTATAACCTCAATTTCAACCTCTCAATATACAGGGTGTCCCGTAATTAGATGGTCATATTTTAACAGCATAATCTACATCATAAAATAAAAGTAAAAGCTTAAATAAATATAGGTCCGAAAACGTTTCATTTTCGAGATACAGGGTGTTAAAAGTTAAATCTTGATGACACATCTTTGCAAATATTTTCTAAACTATTAAAGTTAACTAAGTGAAATTTGGTACAGATGCTTAACTTTTTATGCTATATTTAATGGACTAAACCCCAGTTTTTAATCATCTTTATAGGTGGGTAAATTAGGGGAGGGGGGCTTAGGGTAAAATTAGTTTAAACATCGACAATTAAAGAAATAAATTATCATCAATCGTTTTATTGGGCCAAAGCCAACCAAACAATTTGGAAAAAAAACAAGTTTCTTTATAAAATAATGATTTAAATAATAATTAAAACAAAAATAAATTTTTGATTCCACAAGCCTATTAATTATTGTTTGCACTTTCAAATAACTTATCGAACTTATCATGACATTTTCAAAATGGTTTTCTCTTGAAAATTGTGTGTCCTAAAATGTGTCATCAGGACTTCACTTTTAACACCCTGTATTTATTTATTTATTTATTTGTATCCAAACAGGCAAACGGCCTTATTACATGGATAAAAGTATCATAATACATAAATATTAATATTAATAATAAACAGTAGGTAATTACAACTAATATTACAACTTATTTAGTAGGTATTAAAATTAATTAAGAGTAATATAATAATTAATCAAGAATAATGTAATAATTAAATACAAGTTTTTGGAACATATTAAATGGTAGTGTCCAGTCTACATCAATACAAGTGTTAATATTATTTGCCAATCAGAGCATGGTCACAAGAGGTGACCTGGCAGTGGTAAGAACTAAAGGAATATTAAACATACATGGATGTCTCATTCTCCTCGGAGGTACATTAAATCGTATTAGGTATAGTAACTCAGGTGATTTAATTTTATAGTTAATAATTTCATAAAAAAAAGTCAACATTATGATATTCCTTCTGGTGTGAAGGGAAGGTATATTAAATTATTTTCTTAGGCTTGCAGTTCTAACAAAATTGTAGTCTGGGTATATATGGAGTTTTTTGAAATAAAGATATTTAAGAAATTTATTTTGTATTTTTTTAATCTCATATAGATTTGTTGGATGTTCCCCCATCCATACCTCAGCTCCAAATTCAAGTTTTTGTCTAACTAGAGCATAATAAAGAATTTTTATAGATTCTATGTTAGTAAAACTTCTAGTCTGCCTAATTATGAACCCCAGCATTCTATTTGCAGCCTTAACTATATTTTTTACATGATTAGAAAAGATAGAACACAATCGTAGGTTATACCTAAGTCTTTTACCTTTGAACGTCGTTCTATTAATTTTCCATTTATAAGGTAATCAAAAATAACAGAATTTTTCAATCTACTTATTGTCATACTGCTACATTTTTTTGTATTGAAATTTAATTTATTTTTATAACACCATTCATTTATGTTGCCTAAATCTTTTTGCAATCTCACACAATCCCTAACAGTCTGTATTTTTTAAAAATTTTAAGATCATCGGCAAATAGAAGTCTGTAAACCACAGCATAGATGGTAAATCATTGATAAAAATTAAAAAAGGAGGGGTCCCAAATTAGAGCCCTGTGGCACTCCACTATATGTTATAAATGTTCCTGATGTGTTCCCATTATGCTTAACAATTGAATATCTATTTTCTAGGTAGCTCTTAAATAGTGTAAGAGTACTATTTGTCAAACCAAATTTACTCAGTTTTAAAAGCAGGACATCATGATTTACCTTATCAAATGCTTTTTTAAAGTCTGTGAATATTACATCAAGTTGGATTTTGTTTTCAAGATGAAATGTTTTCGGACCTATGTTTATATGAACTTATACTCCTATTTTAGGATGTAGATTAAGCTGTTAAAATATGACCATCTAATTTCGGGACACTCTGTATATTATACTACTATACTTGTAAAAATATGTATTTAAATAGTTTCAAAAAAAGTAATTTTTCATCATTTCTTATACTTGTTGAACAAATACAATTCATATGCTGAGACACTTTAATTATTTGTACTAATAAAAAATACAATTATGGATTTCCATTTTTTTGTGTCATCAGCATCAACTGCTTTGATTATTAGTGTGAACTTTGTCACTATTTTCCAGCGCCACTTTAGGAACATCACTGTTAATTAGAACCAAACAGTGAATGGCCGAGTGGGGAATCCTACCTATACATTAGAATTAATATTTAATTCGCTAAATTAAATAAAAATCCTGTCACCAGCAGGATTCGAACCTGAGATCCTTCGATCTCAAAGTCATGACTAACCACTGAGCCAACCCACCCCCCTATTTGCAAAATTATTTTTTTAAACAATTCTTTTTGTATTCTACTACTATTTTTAACTATGTAAGTTTAACATAAACTGTTAAAAATCTAAGAAATTACATGCATTAATTTTTTTTATATTAATGTCTACAGTTTAGTCAATAAAAATGTAATTGCTAAATTCTGTATTAAAAGAATTCCAAATCCCAATGAACAACTATTTAAGTAAGCAGATATCTATTAATTAGAATATGGGTTTTCATTCTTAAAACAACAGCTACAAAATATTAATACTAACTGCACTGTATGAATAATATTGTTTATAATTAATATATTCCATAAATATTGAAGAAATCTTTTCAGGTTTTAAAATAAGTAGCTAAAAAGTGAATGGTTTTCGTTTAATTTACACAAACAAACATAACGTCACTGAGAAACATACCTATGTAAATAAAGTAGGTACATACAATATTGTAATTTTTATTTTAAGAATATATCTATTACCTATTTGCATTTATAAAAAGATCGACACGATGAACTTGAATATTTTACTGCATAAGTATGTACATACTACGAGCAAATTTGTTAATAGTTAGGCATCTGCTAATCTATAAATAAATAACTTGTAATGTATAAAATGAATAAGCCAACTAAATATTTAAAATCTAAAATTCATTACGATGAATTAGATTAAAGGTCCTTTTTTTGGGGTTTTAAAATAAACATAACCTATAAAATATGTCATGACTTATTACCTGAGATTTCATATCTTCTCATCTCATTGCCATTATCCCGTGATAGTCCAAAACAAATCGATGGATAGTTCACTCAAAAAAAACTAAGTCATTTGCATACGATCAAAGTAACACAATGCCAAATTCGTGAAAACGATAAATTTCAATACCTATTAAAATTTCTAAAATCAATCACAACACCCGGATTCCCGCACTAAACGTAATTTATGTAATCAATATTTGACAGTAGGGCGAGCTTTGAGAACAACTACATTTTTCAGAAATTCAAATCCTTAATTTTGGTTTATTTTTTTGTAACCCTCTTAAAATAAAATCAAAGTTGGCAATGTCAATACTAGAATTACACTACCGACATCTATTAGTTAAAAATATATTCGATAAAGTTTTCTACTAAGTCCATTTACATAGTTCAATAAATGTGTAATAGATGGCGAAGCATTTTTGGTTGTTCGATTGTTCATTTTTAGATTTTTTTCTACGTTCTTGCAAAAAACAAAACTTTATTAAACTAAACTATATTTATTAAACTATATTTATTGAACTATATTTATTGAAAAATCTGGTTTTTTATTGCACTCGTCTGTCATTTTACTACAGCGTTTTATGATCATGACAAACATAAATACCAAACACCAAATATTTAGTCCATTTTCATTTGCTGTGTTACGTTTTAAAAACAATTGCATATTTTGTATTATTTTCAATCATTTAATAAATAAATTAATAAAAAAATGTATTTTATTAAAAATGTCATTACAAATTATGAACACAAACGTAAATAAATGCCTCAAAGGTACACGATCACGGCTACTATGATTTGGATAATACAAGTGCAGTTCTATAAAACATTTTTTGGTTTTTGCATGAACGTAGAAAACATATTGTATGCAACTCGTGCAAAAAGTATTTATTGCACTCGACGTGTTTGACAATTTCACGTCGCGTGCAATAAACACTTACTTTTTGCACTTGTTGCATAAATAACTATTAAACCACAGTGCCGTTCATAAGTAACGCATAAATTTTCCACTGTGCATAAAAACTTTTAATTAATTAAAATTCTACATCACTTGTTATATTGTAAGTTTTTTCTACACCCACTTAGATATTAGCTTATCTACGCCGGACTACAAAACGAAAAAGTATGATATTGCGTTCAACTAAACGAATATATTCCATATCCATTGTAGGTAGTGAGAACATTACAAAATGTATAGTAGTTCGTGCAACAAGAGTGGATATGATGGTCATATCGCACGAAGACGAAATTTGAGCACGACGCCGTAGGCGGAGTGCTCAATCGTCTGAAAGCGATGTGGACAATCCACTTGAGTTGTGCAGTATATTTTTTCTACGACCCACTAACGAAAATTTACAAATTAAAAAAAAATATTTTAGGTTATTAAGACAAAATAACAAATTTTAAAATAATTTGATTTTTAATAATTTTTAAAATAAAATAAACAAAAAAAAAGTTTACCTAATTTTTCCTCATTCGAGAACCGAACTCCAATATGTCGTGCGGAAGGTAAGAACGTTAACCATAGGACCATATCTAGCCTTTTATTTTTTTTTTGCTTTAATACTCGTAATTAAATTGACTTCATATAGTTTTATTTAAATTAACAAATTATTTATAATTATGGACAAAATAAAAACAGAAATGCTATTATTTATTCTACACAAGAATAATCCATTTTATCTACTCTGATTAATTTATATATTAATTATTCAAGTGCTTTTGAGCAATTAATAGTATCAATAAACAAATAGCGTGAGTTATAATAGTGAGTTATTATAACTCACGCTGGTGTGCGCAGTAAATTCTTGGAAATTTTAATGTCGATAAATGTTCCATTGGCGTAAAATGTTAGAAATATTTTTTAACAACTGGAAAGGAATGAATAATAATTAAAAGATTTTAAAATTATTAAATTGTCAACGCCTCTCAGTAGGCGGAACAGTCAATTATTACATTGAAGGGACTAATGTCATTTGAAATTTTAACAAGATAATTTTGACGTTTTCAAATCAATTTCTAATAATAGTGCTAAAAAAAGATGAATTTAGATAGTGAAGATAAGTTATTATGTATACCTCCAGAAATAAGAGAGATAATAATGCAATACAGAATTTATTACCAGAAAAATCAAAAAACAAGTATAAAGGTGCATACTAAAATTTTCAAGATTGGTGTAACTCGTTTACAGAAAATGTACTTTTGGCATATTTTAATGAACTTAGCAATAAATATAAAGCATCGTCTCATGGACTTTTTACTCCTTGTAAGAAGCACACTCAACATAAATAATGGAATTAATATAGATAATTATTCAAAATTACGTGCGTTTCTTAAACGTCAATCAGAGAAACATATAGCTAAAAAGGCAAAAACATTTATGCCAGAACAACTTAATAATTTCATAAATGAAGCTCCTCATGAGAAATATCTGGCGACAAAGGTAATAGCTTTTAGAAAGATTCAAACGTTTTTATCATCTAGTCAATTATATAATTCTTTCTCGATACTTGTATCTTAATATTTATTGTTATAGTCGTAGATAAAGTATAGTATTCAACTTGCATTACCGCTCGTTAAATAATATATTATTAATGTATGTTTAATCTTAATAGTAAAGGTACTATATGTTCATACGGGGCCATTCCTTATGTAAATTAACATGGGAAATCGCTAAGGTTCATTCTGGCAATTTTTGTCTCTTTCAAGGTCCCGCGTCGATTTCATTTTTTGCAGTGTTCTCACTACCTAGAATGGATATGAAATATATCTGTTCAGTTGAAGGCAAAAGCATACTTTTTCGTTTTGTAATCTGTGCGTAGATAAGTTAATATCCATGTGGGTGTAGAAAATAGTATATTACACACCGAGGTGGAATGAAACTTCCTACCGAGGTTTGTATACTATTTTATTTACAACCATCATATTTCGATCAAAGTTAATAAATCTCTGTTTCGTTCTGAACATACCTAAAATATTACATTTAACCACAAATTACCAAGCGCGCGGTTTTCTCAGAATAATCAAGTAAATATATTGTTATTGTGATTACGGGGTAAACAACTGTCACAAATATAAATAAATGTCAGATAAAGCCGGATATTAAATTCGCGAATAATAAATATCAAGAAGTAGTGTGTTGTATTTTAGTTCATTGTTGTTTTTTATTGTTTGCCATTAAATAGGTATTATAAAATTTGTCAAAAAAATGTGTTATTTTTTTAAATATAAAAAATATTCATCTTGAATAGATGAAATGAGGGCGGGAAGTTAGGGCGGGAAGTGAAAGCGGGAAGTGAGGGCGGGGACTGAGGGCGGAAAGTGAGGACGGGAAGTGAGGGCGGGAAGTAGAGGTGTGTAATGTGACACTTTCCAACCTTCAATGACGTTAGTAATGACAACATTACATATATGGTTGTAAATAAAATATATTAGAGAAAAAGAAACTGAAATTCTCAGATTGCCTCCTTACCACTCAAAGGTAAGATGCTTGATAAAGTGTAATAATGGTATTGCATGTGTAATATCAATTTGGACGATTATACGAAATATAATACGTAAGTTATTAAATATGGTGGTATATTTTTACAATTGCTATGAAAATGTATATTACCTCATGGAACATCCATCTACTAGGACGTTGCTTGGTACAGTTTTTGAAGTCGATACGGCCACCTCAGCTAAGGGGACAGACATAAGTTTTGTTAAGTTTCTGATGTTGACTCATAACAGTTTTGAGCATCAGGAACTGCTGAGTCGCCAGCTCTTGTAGTTGACCAACTATTGTTTGGTCCTGTTGTTCAGGAAAAGACTCACAAACCCCGCAAAGGCGTACCTCTTGGCAAATTATTTCTTATCGGCCGCTATCCCAACTTCGTCACTTGAAGATCGTATGAAAAAATTGTATCTTACCAAATTTTGAAAAATTACATTAATGAAAAATGCAATCGTTGTCTCTGTTGATATTCACTTCTTGCGTAGGTATTCTTTGCTAATAGTAAAACCATTTTGTTTAGAATAGAATCACAACATAACCTACTATTCGGAGATAGAATGCCTAATACACATACTTTGATTACTATACGAGGCAAGAGAGAGGTTCGACACGTCCAACATAGGGCGCGGCCATTTTGAACCCTGTGACACAGTTTACAGCTAAAGAATCAGATCGCTCACTCTGCGTCGGCACTTTTGATCTCAGTGTTTCAGTTTATACACTGTGCAACTCGGATAATACAATATATGACAACCGCCTATAATAAAACAGCAGTCTTCTGCGTATCCTGAATTTGTATCCTTGGAGTGGATGTTATTTTGGAACTTTCAACTGGTCCAAGTGAGCTAACTGATTCTTTAGCAATAAACTGTGACTTCAAAAATAATATTCACTGACACTGACAGCAGCAAGCAAAATATCAGGTGCGTTTTAATCATCCGCTTCTACTTCCTGAATTGTCGGTTTAGTCGTTTTAACCTGTCAGATTAAAACAAGAAAACCGACAATTCCGAAGCAGAAGCGGATGATTAAAACGCACCTATTAAAAATATTGCGCCAAGTTGTAGGCAACACGTAATAAGGGTTCAAAATGGCGGAGTTTTCTATCTCCTTTTAAAAGGCACTCAGAAAGCTGCGCAGTGCGACCATTCTCCGTATAGTAAAAGAAAATCAAAGTATGTGGCCTAATATTATGATCGATGCCAAATGGTTGTCATTGACAGTGTCACAAAAATTAAATAGTTTTAGGACAACTTTTTGGCAAATTGCCATTTTTATGCATCCAATGTTGAAAACCAAGCACTTAAAATGAACTTTCATCCAACAACCAGGAGGAAATCGCAAACATGGGGGTAAAAAATTCAATTAAACGTAGTCACAACAACTTAAACAAGTCTACTGAAAGAAGTCAACTAATTGAAACGAATTCATATACCAGAAAAGAAGAACAAGAAGCATCATCTACCAAAAAGAAAGATGTTTCTATTGGAAGAGACCTAATCGTTTACACTTATACACAAACAGATACCAATGGAAATAAAACTGTCTTAAAAACTGATTCAGAAGCAGAGTTAGACATATATTTTGATGCTCGCGATTTTCGTGATTCAGACGAAATTTGTACTGGTGGTACAGGAAAAAGAACTGAAAATGACATTGACGGTGAAATATTTTTTAAATTTGAGTATGATATTACAAAGTGGTCTTGTTTCCAAGAAACAAAATAATCTTTTTTAACAGCAAATTTTATCGGCATTATGCTATTCATTATTAATATTATACTGAAGCTATTAACCTCATTCAGAACCCTTTTCAGAAAGCCTAAAGTTTTACGGTAGGTAATTAATATTTTTTGGATCCGAAAACCCCTTAATAATTAAGACCGTTTGAAAATACATTAATTTATAATTTAATTTTTTGTGCATCCAAAAAGTTATAGCATTAAAAACAACACAATAATTTTAATTTTTTTATTTAAGAATAGAAATGTAAAGCTTAAACCGAGAATACCGATCAAGGAGAAGCGACAGTAGCTGTCGGTGCCTTTGATATCGGATGTACCTTTTTCACAGCATGACTTTGATTAATACACAACTTAATACGCTGAGAAAACATGCTTATTTTCTACACTGAGCGAAATAGTTTGGCAAATTATCTGAAATTATTGTTGTAGTCCATGCGCAAATGTTGCAATGTGATTTAATTACATTGAAGTAGTTAGGGTTAATAGCAATGGTAAAATTTCGGCACCAAAATATAATTCATTATGTAATAATTAATTATTTGTTATAAAAGTAAAAGGCGTTTATTATTTTATAATTTATCTATAAAATTTGTTCAATATTTGGTTTATTTATTGTTAAAAATGTAATAAAAGCCGCATATTTAAATTAAATTACCTTTTCCTTAAGTAAAAACAAGGTAAATAAAATTAAGGGTGCCAAAAAAAAATTAGGTAACAATTAAATAGACATTAAGAGAGGTTTAACTAAATATTTGCATATATTTTCAAAGCTTTTAGGTTTAAAAAGTACTTACATATTTTTAGAATTTAGATTTAAATTATATTAAAAGGACTTTCAAGTTTATCACTCATTTCTGTATAAACAAATGTTTTCTCGCCAAGTTAAGCCAGATGTCATTTAAGGTTTATGTATTTAGAGTTAAATACCTGGCCTGGCTATCACCCAGACAATACAAATATGTTCATTGGACGTCCATTCGATATACAATTTTGGATGTTTAGACGTCCAAAAATGAGTTTTTTCTGGACTTGCGACATCCAATGGACGTCCAGTGAAGTATACAAATGGCACACTTTTGACCATTCAGAGGACGTCTAATTCTGGAATATATTTGGACGTCGAATACTGGACATTCAAAAAACGTCCAGGATTATATTTCCATTAAGACCACATCCCCACTTTTTTTACAGAACCGCAACTCACCACACACTATTTTATATTATTAACAATTCGTTTATTATTTTCGCAAACCGCTATACGCCATTTTTTTTTTTTTTTATTAAAAATCGCTTCACCTGAGCAGGAATCGGAACTCACGACACATCCATTATCGTTTTACGCTTTCAATAGCTAGACGAGCTCGACCAAGGAACCACTTGAAAACTTTTTACTAGATACAGTTATAATTGAATAAGATTTCAAACTTCCGCTGATAGAATGAAATGCAATAGATTCAATTTGTCAATTTTTAATGACCAGTTATATTAAAAAAAAAGAAGTATATATAGATGGGTATTATCTGGTAGGCTTAATAAATAATGACCTAAGATGGATGTCCACTGGACGTCAAAATACTACTAAACTAAGTCCAAAAACATCCGTTCTCTGGGTATCGATACTCAGCTGTCAATTTAATTAGCTTAAACGGGCGTACACTGGATGCCCGGATATGGATGTCCTGACCCTCAAATAGATCTAAAGTGGACGTCCATACGTGCAGACTGCTGTTTTATTATAGGCGGTTGTCATATATTGTATTATCTGAGTTGCGCAGTGTATAAACTGGAACATTGAGATAAAAAGTGCCGACGCAGAGTGAGCGATCTGATTCTTTAGCTATAAACTGTTGGGCGTGTCTCTTGCCCCGTATAGTAATCAAAGTATGTGATGACACTTCATTCGGAGGTTTTCCTGGTTTAGGAATTAGGATAACTTCAGCCATTTTCCACGCATCTGATATATATTTAAGTTGAAATGCTGCATTTATGAAGTATGTCAATTTAACGATAGCCTTCCGTGGCAGTTTCTTTAATATTTCTCCATATCCTGTAGCTTTCTGGGGGTTGATGTATGAATTTCTTCTAATTGGAACGTCTTTTCTAGGTATTAAGCGAAAATATCATCTTTCTGTTGATTGTCGCTTACCCATTTGTTATCTGCTATTCTGATAGGAGGTCAGTGTTTACACGAATTTTTTTATCTTTTTAGTTGCCTTCCAGAGTGAATAATCAGTTTCTTTATCATCTGTTAGCCCTACTGTAGATACTCAGTACTACTGATATTTTTCTTGTGAATTTTGAACTTGTATTACACAAATTACTAGAAAAGTATGACAAACTAATAATATTAGGCGATTTTAATATTAATTTTAAATCACAATCTGAAATTCTTTTCAATTTTAAATGTTTGTTGAAGTCTTTTGGTTTATCTTTTACAATACATGATGATACTAGAGTTACAGCTTTATCTTCAAATGGGCCCGTTCACTTTCATTTTTGAATGTGAATTGATTATATATTTATAAAGATATTAAACTCTTTTGTCTGGTGGTACTTTTCCCGTAAAGATATTTTTGCTAGAAGTAAGGGAATTCCCATAAAATTCTTTCAGTGACTCATTGCGTCAGAAAATCCCTAATTCCGTTCACGTCTCGTATCGGTTATGCTTAAAGACGGCGAGGTTGTCGGAAGTATCCCTAATATAGCATTTCTGCATTTATATGTAATTTAAATAGTAAAATTCCATTATTTTTCTAAAAATCATGAACTTATATTTTCAGATTTAAAGCTGGGAGCTTATTTTTTACTTTTTAATTAAAACAATTATTATTACTCAGGCTGAAAATTAACCAGACCATAATCAAAAAGTAGAAATTTGATTTGCAATATTTATCTGGTAAACGTGGCAACGTTGCATTTATTTCTAGAAGTGTGTGTAGACAACACTATTTAGAAGTACTTACAACGTTGTCACGTTTACCAGATACATTTTCTCAAATAAAATTTGGATCTGGTAATATTCAGCTTGAGTAATACTAATTGTTTTTATTAAAATTTAAAAAAGGTAAGCCTTCCAGCTTTATCTGAAAATATAAACACATTATTTTTAAAAAATAATATTTTTTTATCATTTAAATTTCTTTAATAAATGCAGAAGAGGAATGGTGGTGCAATGATACATCCGACAACCGCGCCCTTTTAACTATTAACCGATACAACACCTGAAGGGAATTAGGGGTTTTCTGACGCAATGAGTCACTGAAAGAATTTTATGGGAATTCCCTTACTTCTAGCAAAAATATTTTAACGGGAAAAGTACCACCAGACAAAAGAGTTTAATATCTTTATAAATATATAAATAATTCACATTCAAAAATGAAAGTGAACGGGCCCATTGTATAGACAACATAATTACAAATTTGGCGAACGAATTGTTTACTTCCGGTGTATTTGAACCCTCCTTTTCATCTTGAATGAGTAAAACCAAATTTGGTAGATTTTCAGACCACCGTGCCCAATACATTTCTGTGAGTTACAATAATAGTCTAACAAATAATAAAAATCAAACATGTCTTAAAAGGTGTATTACAGATAATGGAATAAAGATGTTTAAACAGTCTCTAAGTAGTATAGATTGGAGTATTTTTTGTAATAAAGGTAATGATTTAATTTTTTTGTCAACTTTTCTTATCAATACTTACCATAACTTAAGTATGAAATATTTTCCCTTGAGACAATGTAAGAATAATTTAAGAAATTCACCAATAATATGGTTTAACAACAGTCTAAAGTCTCTAAGAAACGATCTCTCAACCATCAAACTAATAACAGACGTTACAAAAGATCCAAATGACATAAAAACATACAAGAAACTCAAAAGCGAGTACAATGAAAAATTGAAATCAACAAAAAACTGGCCTATGATGAATATATTACTCGAGCAGACAATAAAGCCAAGGCATGTTCGCAAATAATCAATTTCGAAAGAAAGAATTTAAAAAGAAATCTAGTAACTCCTGATTTAACACCAAATGAAATAAATACATTTTTTAATACAACTGCTGCAAATATCATAAGATCTCTTCCTAATGTTTCGAATGCCGAACTTCTGAGTTTTAAATATTTTCCTATGCCCTGTAGCTCATTTTTCTTCCGCCCTGTTCTTGAGTCTGAAGTTTTTGACGTAATTACTTCTCCAAAAAAATTTAAATGTGTTGACACTCACGAACTCAATAGTAGAATTTTAAAAGAGACTTGCAATATTATAATAAAACCGTTTACTGAACTGATTAATTTAATTTTATCCAGTGGTATATTTCCTGAAGTACTTAAATACTCTAAAGTATTACCAATATTCAAAAAAAGTGATAAAAAAATTGATAACTATCGTCCCATAAGTATTGTTTCAATATTTGGTAAAGTTACCGAAAAAATTATTAAAAAACAATTATGTGAGTATTTTGAATTAAACAACTTCTTCAGCAACTCCCAATATGGTTTTAGACGCTCTCGCTCTATTACACAGGCTGTTCTCAATGTTGTGAATGATGTAGTTGAGGAACTTAAGCAGGGAAATCACACATCAGTAATGTTGTGCGATCTGTCAAAGGCTTTCGACTGCGTCTCTCATGATATTCTTCTGGAAAAGCTAAGCTTTTATGGAGTTAGGGGAATTCCGCTTGCACTAATAAATTCATATATCAGTAACAGACAACAAGCTGTGATGAGTAATGGTGTTCTGTCTGACTTTCAGGCTGTAAGGCAAGGGGTTCCACAAGGTTCTGTCCTGGGCACCCTTTTATTCATTGTTTATGTTAACGATCTAAGCCGTTTTATGCTACCTAATAAATCAGTTTTATTTGCTGATGATACAACACTCATCTTAACAGACAAAAATAATAAAAATTTAATTTCTTCGTTTGATGAAATTGCGGACAAAGCAAACACATGGTTCTCAACCAACAAATTAAAACTTTAAACTTTAAAAATAATATATTTTTGGTGAATGTATTAAATATAAATAATTATTTTAGAAATAGTGTTAATTTGATGCGCAACCTGCGTCTTCCGGCCAGTCACAAACATTCTTTTCCGGGTTAAAATGCAAGTTAGCTGGACAGTTGAACAAGTATGGGGTTCCATTTGAACACTTACAATATTTAGTGCAGTCTGGCAAACCAGTAAATACGGGGAATTCAGGATCTATAGCTGGACACTCTAAAACAAAAATTAAAAATAATATCTTAAATTATCCAGATATTAGCCAGGGTTTTTATTGAATAAATTCAATCCCTTTCAAAAGTTTCTAGCCACGATATACTTTCAAGTTACTTTACAATATTTCAACAAATTAGGCTTAAAAAGAAAAATGAAATTATACATTTTTTGTTCAAAATTACAAAGTGTACTATATAACTACTTGAAAAAAATTAGAAATTTAAAGAAAAAAAAAATTAATACTTTTCTTTATCCGATAGAATGTAGGTGGGCGCTCTTTTTGTCTAATCACAAAATTGATAACATGTTTATGATTTATTAGACCAAAAATATACGGGGTTATGATCGACAAGTAATGTTATTTTTAACAGACACGTTATTTGTGAACAGGTTATAATTTCTGTGTGTTTATAAAATAACAGACATGTTAAAAATAACACAGGTTGTCAATCATAACCCCCATAGTCGTAACAAATTTCAAGTCAATACGTTAAATAATATATTACAAAAAAAGGAAAAATAAATTTTAAATTTAACACCCTGTATCTCAAAGGTAGATAACATTTAGTCCAGTGTTATTTAACAAAATATTAATATTTTAAAATCTTAAAATTGTGGTTATAATATTTACCATTTCTTCTGAAATATCCTGTACAAAGTTTCTATAAAGTTTTTTAATATTTTTCTTAACAAAATTCTCAAACAAATCCCAATATTACCCCAACGAAATAATAAAAATTATGTTTGAAGCCTCAAGGAGAAAACAAATTTATTGAAAAATTTAAAAAATATGATTGTTGGGAGATCTGAATCCACCTTCTTCTGTTCTGCGCACAGTCGTTTTTACAATTAAGCTATCGCTGACATTTTCAGAATTGTCAAGATGAATATTAGATTGATTCAATTCAAAAACACTGCCAGTTATGATAAATTTATGCAAACTTACTTATGTCCGCTTGTACACAAAGATTTGGAGTGGTTTCATTATTTTGAGTTGTAGTACTTTCTACATTTGGAGTTGAACTTTCATGTATTATTGTTGTGGTAGCACTTTCTATTGTAGTCACATTGGGAGTTGATCTTTCAGTAGTACTATTTTCTGTTGTACTTTCTTCAACGTCAGTAGATGCTTCAGTGGAAGTAGTTGTTACAGTAGTAGTAGAAGTATTATTTTGAGTTGTTGTTGTTGTGGTAGTACTTTGTGTTGTCGTTGATTGAGTAGTTCCTCCAGTACAACCAGCGTTTGATGGCCAATCGCATACATTTAGAAGTGGATTAAAGTGAAGTTCTGCTGGACACTTATGTACGATTGGTACTCCATTCGAACATTGGCAGAACTTGGTGCAATCAGGTAAAGCTCCATACACCGAGTCAGGTCCGTCGACAGCAGGGCAAACTGAGAGAAAAAAATTAAACGTCAATTTAAAAACAATTCAAAGACATTGTCACGCATGATAAATTTATGCTTACTTATGCCCGCTTGTACACAAATATTTGGAGTAGTGGTTTCGGCTTTTGGAGTTGTAGTTCTTTCTGTTGTAGTCACCTTGGGAGTTGAACTTTTAGCTGTTGTTGTGGTAGTACTTTCTTCAGTAGTACTATCTTCAGTGGTGCTATCTTCAGTAGTGCTATCTTCAGTAGTGGTATCTTCAGTACTGCTATCTTCAGTAGTGCTATCTTCAGTAGTGCTATCTTCAGTAGAGCTATCTTCAGTTGTGCTATGTTCAGTAGTGCTATCTTCAGTAGTGCTATCTTCAGTAGTGCTATCTTCAGTTGTGCTATCTTCAGTAGTACTATCTTCAGTAGTAGATTCTTGATCAGTAGTACTTGACTCACCGCTACATTCTGTAGCGATTTCTATTACTACGTTAGAATCTGTAGGATTGGTTACACTTTGACTGGCACAGCCTGCTATTTCAGGAATTTCGCATACGTTTGAGACTGAATTGAAATGAAGACCATCCGGGCAACTATGTAAATACGGTTTTCCGCTCGAGCATTGACAAAATTTGGTACAGTCCGGTAAAGTTCCATAAACTGAGTCAGGACCATCGGCAGCAGGACAAGCTAAAATTAAAAGACATAAAATACGATCAAAATGTTTATTTAGAATGTGTTAGAATAGACAGTTAATAATAGAGAGTTAGGAATAGAAACTTACAGAGATAAGAATATAGAACTAAGAATAGAGAGTTAATAATAGAGATTAATATTAGAGTTAAGAATAGGAAGTAGAAAATATAGAGTAAATAATAGAGAGTTAAGTTAATAATAAAGAGTTGGGTTAAGAATAGAGAGTAAAGAATAGAGAATTCAGTTGAGACTAGAGAATAAAGAATATAAAGTTGAGAAATAAGAACAGAGAGTTAAGGAGAATAGCGAGTTAAGAATAAAGAGTTGAGAATAGAAATTTGGGAATTAAGACTAGAAAAATTGAAATAGAGAGTTAGGCATAAGAGTTAAGAATAGAGAGTAAAGAATAGAGAGTTTAGAATATAGAGTTACGAATACAGAGTTAAGAATACAGAGTTAAGAATACAGAGTTATGAATACAGAGTTAAGAATACAGAGTTAAGAATAGAAAGTAAAGACTAGATAAATAGAAATAGAGAGTAAAGCATAAGAGTACAGAGAGTTAAGTTGAGAATAGAGAGTTAAGAATAGAGAGTTCAGTTGAGACTAGAGAATAAAGAATAGAAATTTGAGAGTTAAGACTAGAGAAATAAGAATATAAAATTAAGTTGAAAATAGACTGTTAAGTTGAGAATACAGAGTTAAGAATAAAGAGTTGAGAATAGAAATTTGAGAGTTAAGACTAGAGATATAAGAATAAAGAATTAAACACAAGAGTAAAGAATATATTACTTTATCGATTTTTTAAAGGTTGATAGCTCGCAGAAGTGTATATTTACTTACCTACATTATTTTGCAAACAATATTCGGTACCACTTATGACTGTCGTTGTGATAATTGTTTCAGTAACTGTAATAGTAGAGCAGGGAATGGATGCATCCGTAGTTGTTTGACTATTTTCTGTTGTGTCATCAACAATATTATCCTCAGTAGTACTATCCTGATTATTTTCAGTTGTCTCATCGCTAATATTTGGTTCAGTAGTACTAACTTGACACATGTCTGTAGTAGTATCTCCACTTCCTTCTCCGTTTGAGCATTCGTCACTATTTTCATTTTCAGTAGTACTATTTTCTGTTGTACTCTCTTCAATGTCAGTAGATGCTTCAGTGGAAGTAGTTTCATTTTGAGTTGTTGTTGTGGTAGTACTTTGTGTTGTTGTTGATTGAGTAGTTCCTCCAGTGCAACCAGCGTTTGATGGCCAATCACAAACATTTAGAATTGGATTAAAGTGAAGTCCTGTTGTACATTTATGGACGTATGCTACTCCATTCGAACACTGGCAGAACTTAGTGCAATCAGGTAAAGCTCCGTACACAGAATCAGGTCCATCGACGGCAGGGCAAACTGAAAAAAAAAACAAAATTAAATATTAATTTAAAAACAATTCAAATGCACCGTCACTCATGATTATGTTAACTTACTTATACCCGCTTGTACACAAAGGTTTGCGGTAGTGGTTTCGGTATCTTGAGTTGTAGTTCTTTCTGTTGTAGTCACCTTGGGAGTTGAACTTTTAGCTGTTGTTGTGGTAGTACTTTGAGTTGTCGTTGATTGAGTAGTTCCTCCAGTACAACCAGCGTTTGATGGCCAATCGCAAACATTTAGAATTGGATTAAAGTGAAGTCCTGATGGACACGTATGTACGATTGGAACCCCATTCGAACATTGGCAAAAACTGGTACAATCTGGCAGAGCTCCATACACAGAATCAGGCCCATCGACAGAAGGACAAGCTGAAAGTATAAATTGAAACGGTTTAAAAATAATTCAAATACATTGAACTCACGATCAATTGATGTTAACTTACTTATGTTTGAATTTATACAAATATTTGCAGTACTGGTTTCAGTATTTTGAGTTGTAGTACTTTCTGTTGTAGTCACCTTGGGAGTTGAACTTTTAGCTGCTGTTGTGGTAGTACTTTTAGCTGTTGTTGTGGTAGTACTTTTAGTTGTTGATTGAGTAGTTCCTCCAGTACAACCAGCGTTTGATGGCCAATCGCAAACATTTAGAACTGGATTAAAGTGAAGTCCTGATGGACAAGTATGTAGGATTGGTACTCCATTCGAACATTGACAAAACTTGGTGCAATCAGGTAAAGCTCCGTACACAGAATCAGGTCCATCGACAGCAGGACAAGCTAAGAGGAAAAATTAAACCATTTAAAAATAATTCAAATATTCTGACACTACAGAAAAATGTATGTTAACTTACATATGCCCGCTTGTACACAAATATTTGGAGTAGTGGTTTCGGTTTTTGGAGTTGTAGTTCTTTCTGTTGTAGTTCCTTCTGTTGTAGTCACCTTAGGAGTTGAACTTTTAGCTGTTGTTGTAGTTCTTTGAGTTGTCGTTGATTGAGTAGTTCCTCCAGTACAACCAGCATTTGATGGCCAGTCGCATACATTTAGAATTGGATTAAAGTGAAGTCCTGATGGACACGTATGTACGTATGGTGCTCCATTCGAACATTGGCAGAACTTGGTGCAATCTGGTAAAGCTCCATACACAGAATCAGGTCCATCGACGGCAGGGCAAACTAAAAAAAAACAAAATGAAATATTAATTTAAAAACAATTCAAATACACCGTCACTGATGACAAATTTATGGTAACTTACTTATGCCCGCTTGTACACAAATATTTGGAGTAGTGGTTTCGGTTTTTGGAGTTGTAGTTCTTTCTGTTGTAGTTCCTTCTGTTGTAGTCACCTTAGGAGTTGAACTTTTAGCTGTTGTTGTAGTTCTTTGAGTTGTCGTTGATTGAGTAGTTCCTCCAGTACAACCAGCATTTGATGGCCAGTCGCATACATTTAGAATTGGATTAAAGTGAAGTCCTGATGGACACGTATGTACGTATGGTGCTCCATTTGAACATTGGCAGAACTTGGTGCAATCTGGTAAAGCTCCATACACAGAATCAGGTCCATCGACGGCAGGGCAAACTAAAAAAAAACAAAATGAAATATTAATTTAAAAACAATTCAAATACACCGTCACTGATGACAAATTTATGGTAACTTACTTATGCCCGCTTGTACACAAATATTTGGAGTAGTGGTTTCGGTTTTTGGAGTTGTAGTTCTTTCTGTTGTAGTCACCTTGGGAGTCGAACTTTTAGTTGTTGTGGTAGTACTTTGAGTTGTCGTTGATTGAGTAGTTCCTCCAGTACAACCAGCGTTTGATGGCCAGTCGCAAACATTCAGAATTGGATTAAAGTGAAGTCCTGATGGACACGTATGTACGTACGGTGCCCCATTTGAACACTGGCAGAACTTGGTGCAATCTGGTAAAGCTCCATACACAGAATCAGGTCCATCGACGGCAGGGCAAACTAAAAAAAAACAAAATGAAATATTAATTTAAAAACAATTCAAATACACCGTCACTCATTTATGGTAACTTACTTATGCCCGCTTGTACACAAATATTTGGAGTAGTGGTTTCGGTTTTTGGAGTTGTAGTTCTTTCTGTTGTAGTTCCTTCTGTTGTAGTCACCTTAGGAGTTGAACTTTTAGCTGTTGTTGTAGTTCTTTGAGTTGTCGTTGATTGAGTAGTTCCTCCAGTACAACCAGCATTTGATGGCCAGTCGCATACATTTAGAATTGGATTAAAGTGAAGTCCTGATGGACACGTATGTACGTATGGTGCTCCATTTGAACATTGGCAGAACTTGGTGCAATCTGGTAAAGCTCCATACACAGAATCAGGTCCATCGACGGCAGGGCAAACTAAAAAAAACAAAATGAAATATTAATTTAAAAACAATTCAAATACACCGTCACTCATTTATGGTAACTTACTTATGCCCGCTTGTACACAAATATTTGGAGTAGTGGTTTCGGTTTTTGGAGTTGTAGTTCTTTCTGTTGTAGTCACCTTGGGAGTCGAACTTTTAGTTGTTGTGGTAGTACTTTGAGTTGTCGTTGATTGAGTAGTTCCTCCAGTACAACCAGCGTTTGATGGCCAGTCGCAAACATTCAGAATTGGATTAAAGTGAAGTCCTGATGGACACGTATGTACGTACGGTGCTCCATTTGAACACTGGCAGAACTTGGTGCAATCTGGTAAAGCTCCATACACAGAATCAGGTCCATCGATGGCAGGGCAAACTAAAAAAATCAAAATGAAATAATAATTTAAAAACAATTTAAATAGACCGTCACTCATGATAAATTTATGCTGACTTACTTATGCCCGCTTGTACACAAATATTTGGGGTAGTGGTTTCGGTTTTTGGAGTTGTAGTTCTTTTTGTTGTAGTTCTTTCTGTTGTAGTCACCTTGGGAGTTGAACTTTTAGTTGTTGTGGTAGTACTTTGAGTTGTCGTTGATTGAGTAGTTCCTCCAGTACAACCAGCGTTTGATGGCCAGTCGCAAACATTTAGAATTGGATTGAAGTGAAGTCCTGCTGGACACGTATGTACGTATGGTGCTCCATTCGAACATTGGCAGAACTTGGTGCAATCTGGTAAAGCTCCATACACAGAATCAGGTCCATCGACAGCAGGACAAGCTGAAATCGTGTAAAAATAATTCAAATACACTGACGCTACAAATAAATGTATATTAACTTACTTATGCCCGCTTGTACACAAATATTTGGAGTAGTGGTTTCAATTTTCGGAGTTGTAGTTCTTTCTGTTGTAGTCACCTTGGGAGTTGAACTTTTAGCTGTTGTTGTGGTAGTTGTCGTTGATTGAGTAGTTCTTCCGGTACAACCAGCGTTTGATGGCCAATCGCAAACATTTAGTAGTGGATTAAAGTGAAGTCCTTGTGGACACGTATGTAAGATTGGTACTCCATTCGAACATTGGCAGAATTTAGTGCAATCAGGTAAAGCTCCATATACTGAGTCAGGTCCATCGACGGCAGGGCAAACTATACATAAAAAACTCGAGTTTTAAGAATTGTTATATTGTCGCTAAATATCTTGAGCAAGATAACAGCAAGATTTCACTTGTCTTTTTTAATTTTACAGTGGAATAAAACTTTTGCTAAAGTAAATGTGTATAATACATTAGTGTTTGATTTATTTTTTTTTTTATTTGAAAAGGGCGCTCTTTATTTTTCGATTAAATCCTTACCTACATTGGCTTCAAGGCATTGGTTATTGATTATATTTGTAAGATTACCTAAAAAAAATATGTAATTAAAAAACATGATTTTATATTTTTGGTATAAAGATGAACGAGTTTTAATTAAAAATGCAAATGTAAAAAAAGTATATCTGCTCTTAAAAATTTATTAAAAGTTTGAGTTAATATTCAAGAATCTTCCAATCGGAAGAAGTAATTTTTTTTCTCTATGTAATATAATATAATATAATATAATTAAAAGTTTTAACCGAGGTCTCATCGTTATTTCAAAGTATCCATGGGTTAACGTATTGTATTTGCCATAATTCTGAAATAGTTGTTCACAGCACCATCTATACTTTCTTTCAGTAAGCAGTATTGCAGATCAGATAGTCGACAGGGTTGCCAATCGTACGGTAATTACCGTACTTGTACGGTAATTTCAATTAATGTACGATATATGGTCCAAAGTCATTACCGTACATAAAAGTACGGTATTTACATAAAAAGTACGGTATACGTACGGTATTTTCAACAGAATTAGCAAAGACTGAGTTGTGCAAGAAGGACCGACTCCATCATTGTCCAATGTAAAAATGCAGCAGATGTTCTTAAAAACTTCAAAAGGACCACCTAGTCTGTACAAAAATACAAAAATATAAGCTAATATAAGGCCTTTTTTTAGAAGCTAGGTAAAATAGTAGATTAAAATAATATGATGAGGACCTTTTTTTTTTTTTTTTTAGAAACACGACACGAAGAGTTACACAATATAGTTTTTTTTACAAAATACAAATGTACGGGGTACTGGCAGGCCATGTACGGTAATTTCAATTGCGCGGTACGGTAAATGGAATTTGAAAAGTTGGCAACCCTGAGTCGAATAATTCATATTCATATTTAACCGAAATACAGTCTTTTATTAATTTTGATGTGTTTTAGACATTTTACTCACATATTCTCTATAACTAACAGAATTTACTGCAGATATAAACAAGAATCGAAATACAGGTCCGTCTTTACATAAATTGAATAAATTCGTATTGAATTTTTTTTTTTTTTTTTCGTATTTTAAAAGAACACGAACAGCTAACCATTAAAAACTAACGCAAATAAAAAAATGATTTTTACTTACTTCCCGTACTGCTACTGGCGTAAACGCCAAGAATCAGAAAAATCACAGTCAAAGTCATGTTATCCATCGTAAATGAATAATTCTACTTCGACATATCATACAAACTTAGGTTTGAGAATAAAACACAATTATTTATACCTTTAATCAAATCTTAGATAGAGGATTTAATAAAGGGAGGATTACTTTATCAGTTTTTAAGCCGCACCTAATATTGTGATTTATGGTCGAAACATTGGAATAATCCTGAATTTTATTGCCTCAAAAATATTGCAACTTTGATCCACTATTGATTGATGAACTTTTTAAAAGATATAAAAGTTAACAAAGTCCGTTTTGAATTTTTTTGGAATTTCTTTATTTAAATAATCCTCTATATTTCTTTAGAACCATATATTTTAGGGGTTTTTAGGTATACAAATTTTGATATTATAGACAATTAAAACAAAATGAAAGGAGGGGTTGTTAACACGTAAATTTTTGCTTTTTAAATTCTTTTAAAAATGTTACCCCCAATTTTTTTAAACGATTTGCATGGAGGGTAACATTTAAAATTTGATGTTCTGTTTGTTTCTTATGTTTTTGGGATCATAGAATCCAATTTGTATTAAATTTTTTCGATACTTACATTTGTTTGGAAGATTTAAGGGAACATGGTTATGATAATGATGCAAATATGAACGGACGCAATAATGAAAAGGTATTTTTTTGAGAAATTACATTTCAATAGGAAATTACATTTCAATAGGAAATTACATTTCAATTTTGTTACTTTTTTAAGTTTACCTACTTTCTAAAAAAGTAATAAACTGTAAAATTGATTTTTTAAAGATTTATTGATACGTTAATTTAACAGGTGTTGAAAATGTCACCCATTTGCTTCCATACAAATCTATTGAGAACATTTTGTGTTATTCTCCTGCACTGCAGTCAGCTATTATCCGTTGACGAAGATCTTCTATGGAATTAGGCTTCGTAGCAAAACATTTATTTTTCAAGTGTTCCCAAAGAAAATAGTCCAGAGGCGATAAATCCGGTTATTTAAAAATTTTCTTCTATACCAACATAGTGCGGAGGTGCTCGATCTTGCTGGAAATAAAACTGATCAACATCATGATTTGAGTAATTTTCTAATATTTCTGTTATAAGAGGCTCAATTTCATCTTCAAGCATGTTTAGGTACACTTCACCAGTTAAATTTCCAGAAATGAAAAGTGGTCCTACAATATGGTTACCTAAAGGTCCTTTTAGATGGTCATATTAGTTCTTAGTTCATTTTCAGTTTCAGTTCAGTTGTTAGTTATATGTATGTGTAAACACAAAACAATGAAAGAAAAACTGACACTGACTCGGAGCTTTGGCTTGATAGATTTCCTAAAAGTTTAGTTTACGTAGTTGAAATGATGTGTAAACAAACTTGTCCGTTAACGTCTCCTTATTTGCAGAAGATTTGTAAATATCGGTATTTTAAGTTTGTCCCAACAGCGATCCGAAAACAGTCATTGACCAGGATTCTGCGCAGAAGATTTTTTAGACCTCCAAATTCATATTTCGCACAATCCTGGTGGAAATGACTGGTTCCTGATCGTTGTTTGAACAAACATGTTAAAACACGGCTCTCTGACAAAAATTATTGATCTTTATCTGCAACAGTACTTTACTTACAATACAGTATTTTAGTACTTTTATTACAGTTTTACAAGTTTTAGATATTACAGTAAGAAATCTAAGACTTTGAAAAGTACTCGCAGTTGCCAAAAATCTTAGTGTTGCTCTTTTATCCATAAATAGTTTGATCATTCACAAGGTTCAAAATAAAGTTTTATCATTAAATTAACATGTAACACTAATTTTCTTTTTAGGAGCCAATGTTTGCTACATTTAGTTCTTTTCTTTCGTAGTCCCTTTAATACTAAGCACAAAGTTAGCGTAATTAGGGAATCTTCATCTATTACTGATGTACATAACAAATGAAAACTCAAACTGATCGTCTAAAACGACAGCGTATCCACAAATGAAGTTACAACTGAATTAAGAACTGATAAGACGGTCTAAAAGGACTCTCATATGGAACACCAGACATTTATTTTTTCAGGGTGTTGGGTATGATACTCACGGAATAAACGTGGGTTACTGTCATCCCAGTAACGACAATTATGCCCATTAAAAGCTCCATTCAAATGAAATGTACACTCATCGGAAAAACAAATATTAAATAATAAGTCAGGATCTGCAATTAAACACTGGCTCATTTCTTCACAAAACTGCAGCCTTCTATCAGGATCATCTTTGTTCAGCTCTTATACTAATCTAGTTTTGTACGAATTAAAGGACCCCGCAGACTTTCAATGAAAATTGGGTTTCATCGAAATTGTCCCATTTTTTGCAGGGAGCTTTTGACATCCTGAACAAAAGTCCTTATGGGTGGAACAAAATCCTATGTAAGGATTTTGAGTTATTTGCGAAAGAAGGCCTCGATTTTGACGAACCTCAAAAATCGTAAACAGAGGGAAACAACACATACAAAGAGGTTAGGGTCTTTATTTTTTAAAAGTCTTGGACCAAGAAGTTATTCCAGAATGATTAGTAGTCATTTATGGAGATGCTGTGTATGAGTGCCCGTCAATAGGCAACTCACAGGATGGTCCTGAACACTTTCGGCAAAAAATTGACCTTTTAACCAAACTTTTCTGAGCTTGATTTCCTGGATGAGTCGCCTCCAGAAAAGTTGGACTGACCGAGGCCATCAATGGTATGGGCCCATGAGTTATCGGCCAAAAAAGGTCCCATTTGGCCGATACTCGAGAAGTGTGAAAACGGGGCGGAAAACTCATACAACGATGGTAATATGATCACGTTTAGACGGCTTTGGGCCAAAAAAGTCATTTGACAATGCCCAGCAGGGTTTGCTGGAGATGCCGGGCTTGAGTGCCCATCATTAGGCAACTCTTATGATGCTCACGAACACTATTAGGAAATACTTGACCTTTCAACCATACTGAACATTTTCGACTTTTTGTCCCAAAGCCGTCTAAACGTGATCATATTACCATCGTTGTATGAGTTTTCCGCCCCGTTTTCACACTTCTCGAGTATCGGCCAAATGGGACCTTTTTTGGCCGATAACTCATGAGCCCATACCCTTGATGGGCATGAGTGAGTCCAACTTTTCCGGAGCCGACTCATCCAGGAAATCACACTTAGAAAAGTTTGGTTAAAAGGTCAATTTTTTTCCGAAAGTGTTCAGAACCATCCTGTGAGTTGCCTAATGATGGGCACTCATACACAGCGTCTCCATCAATGACTGCTAATCATTCTGGAATAACTTCTTGGTCCAAGACTTTGAAAAAATAAAGACTCTAACCTCTTTGTATGTGTTGTTTCCCGGTGTTTACGATTTTTGAGTTTCGTCAAAATCGAGGCCTTCTTTTGCAAATAACTCAAAATCCTTACATAGGATTTTGTTCGACCCATAGGGACTTTTGGTCAGGATGTCAAAAGCTCGTTCCCTGCAAAAAATGGGACAATTTCGATGAAACCCAATTTCCATTGAAAGTCTGCGGGGTCCTTTATGAGCTTTTAAAAATCCTTATTATAAATGAACGAGATACACCCGAGACTTTATCTAGTTGACTCGCTGCATCTGAATTTTCTTATTACAGACAGATCCAGTATCGGAAAACTTTTGGACTATTTTGGTAACATACGAATGATTCATATTTTTATTGGGATGATTGTTATTAAACAACCGAGCAGTAAACCTAGCGCAACTATTATTTTGAAAATAAAGTATCACAATTTAAATTTGTTCAGGAATGGAATAAACCATTTTTTTACAATATCATTAAAATAATTTTAAAAGCAACCAAATTGTACAGAAACCACAATGAACGTTTACCTAAATTGTTTTCTTATTTTATTTCTTTGCTACTTGTTAACATTATCTGTAACTGATGTGGCTTGTGAGGAAAGAAGCTTTTCAAAACTTGAAATAATAAAAAATTATTTGAGATCAAAAATGGCACAGGAAAGTATTTCTGACTTCTCTGTCATTAGTATTGAAAAGAAGATTTAGATGTATCGGATATTTTAACAGAATTTGCTTTTAAGTTTTTTGACAGACTTGTTAAGTATTATTAATTTCCTTCCTGCATTAGGACAGAAGAAGGCATAATATATATTTTAGGTCGCAGTTTATTATTACCCTATTCCCAACATAATCTCATGAAAATTCCTAAGCCGTTTCTGTCTAAAGCAAGACGTCTTCTTTAGAGGAGAAAATAAAACAAATGGAAAAGAAGATAGGAGAACTGGAACATTCAGACACGGCTAAGGACGGTGAAATAAAGTGTCATGAGGTGGAGTCGAAGTTAAAATTGGAAGGAACTGTAAACTCTGCTCGTGTGGTTTCTATATCTATGGCTCGTGTTAAAGCCCCAACCTTCGATGAAAAAATGTCATGGACTAACTACTTTAAACAGTTCGAGACAGCTGCGAGGGAAAACGAATGGCCTGAGAGAGAAGAGGCAAAAATCTGACAATCGCCCTTCGATGAAACGCTTTAGATGTCTTCAGACTATACCTGTGGAAGAGACTGATGATTTTGAACAACTCAAAAAGAGATTGAACATGCGATATGGCCACTAACACTTGGAGCGTTAATACCAGTCACAGTTAAAGAATCGCAAACAGAAACGAGACGAGACTCTTCAAGAATATGAAGTTAATATTGCCAGGTTGGTGAGATTTGCTTACCCATCAGCTCCGGAAAACATAATGGAATGTTTAGCAGTCCAAACATTTGTTGATGGACTCCGTGACCATGAGATGCAGAAAACACTTCGCTTAGTCCACCACAAAACATTGGTCGATGTCTTGTCCGCTGCTCTTCAATATAAAGCGGCTTCGCTGGCTTCTGGTGGATACAGTGAAGTAAGGACTGTAAAAGAAGAAGAACAGGGAAATAAATTGGTCCAATTGTTTCACATGATAAAAACCCTTATTGAGAAGCAACCGAAGACTTTTAGGTGCTGGAATTGCGGTGAAATGGGAAAGTAAGCAGTTCGCGCAAACGCCCAAAAAACACTACAAATCGAAAAACCGTTCCG